TGAAAAATAAAAATAAAAGCAATCTGCTCCATCTATAGCAAAGGTCCAAGTGATGGGTGGGAACATGCTTTACAAGGATAACATTGCCAACTAGAACCTTCTGTGGTGAGGAGGAGGGAAGGCATTTGTGGAAGAGGAGAGCCAACAGGGGCCTCATCAATGATGAATGCTTTAGTGAATAAATAATTCAGAGCTTTGGGGATCCTTTTAGAAACAGTATGTTTCCACTTAGCTCTGCCCACTGAAAATGTTTTTCCAAAGGTGCATCTCCATAATCACAAGCCTGTGATGTGCCCAAAGATGCAGGGCAGGCCTGTGTGTGTTGTCCTCTGGGCAGCCCACAGCCAACTCCAGGCCCTGGGGAGTCTGAGCACCCCTGAGCTCCCAAAGGGCAGCCCTGGCTCATCAGGTTACATCCCAGGGGTCCCTCTTTCTGCCACGAGCCTCCTTCACACGTTGATACTCTATGAAGCCTTCCACAACTCCGTGAGGAAAATGGCAGTTTGACTTACCTTTTGTCCACACCTGGGTGGCTTCCTGCCTGTCTCCATCACTCCTGAGAGAACTGTGTTCTGTACACTCCCATGTCTTCCATAGCACAGTGCTTAAATGTAGTATGTCACATTTTCTTTCAAGTCACTTTTTTATGGGCCAAAAACGTTCAGAAACCCTATGTGCACAGCTGGATTAATTCAGTGAACACACCTGTATAACCAGCACCCAGATCAAGCAAAAAGAAATGACCAGGACCACAGAGGTCCCCTGAATTCTCTGTTCATGTCCCCCAAGTTAACCACTATCCTGACTTCCATTGGCATAAATAGTTTTGCTTATTTTGAACTTTATAAGAATACATTATGTACTCTTCTGGAAATGACTTCTTTCACTCCAGTTATGTTTGTGAGAATTGTCATTCATTCTCATTGCTGTATAGTAGTCTATTATATGAATCTACCATAATTTATCCATTCTGTTGTTCGTGGGCATTAGGATTATTTCCAGATATTACCATTCTTCTTCCTGTCTTTTGCTGAATATATGTACACACTTCTGTTGGGTATAAGTTTAGGAATGAGTTTTCAGGGTCAAAGGGTACAGCCTGCCTGCATGAACTAACGAATGTCTACAGCTTCGGGGGACCATGGGATAGTAAGACAGGAGATGTGCACACCACCCTTGCACAGTCCTTTCCTAAGCTTGGCTTTTGGTGCACAGGCCCTGACATCTACCTCCTACCCCAAACAGGAGGTAGGCAGGATCTGCTTGTTAAGCTGATGGTAGGGCTGGGCCTCGGCTTCACACTGGGGCACTTCCCTAACTGAATAGCCCGGTAGCCCCCATTCCTGCTTGACATCTGTTCCCTCAGAACTCTGTACCACATCCATCTCAAAGATCAGGATTTGTTCCTAATGGTCTGGGGGGCATGCCATGCCCCAGTACCTCATGGTTTGCGAACCCAGCCTCTTCTCTCTAGAAGGCCTAACATTGTTAGGCCATCACCCTTCAACACTCCCACACTCACCCTCACTTCCACCTGAGATGGTATTTCTCCCTTCACCCTCCCCTTTGCTGACCTGTGACCCCATACAGCCTTTCTGAATGGCTTTATCAGACATTACATGGGGCCCACGTTATTTCCTGTTTGACTCCAGGAACATACTACAGCTCCAGGAATTCATAGCCTGACTCTTGGATATGTTGATTATGGGGTAAGAATAAATCCTTTGGAATAGAACTGACACCTTTGGGACCCCTAGTAATCTAAAAGGATGTTCAGTGAATTCTAGTTGGACCCAATGATCTTACACTGCCCTCTCAATGACCTATCCAGAGATGCCCACTGTGGCTCCCACATTTATCTAGGGCCTTGGGTTCCTTGGGAAACCCAAATCCCTGGTGTCCTCTCCATACACTCAGTGCATCATTGTGGTCACCTCTCATTATTCAAGGCTCTAAGGTTGGACAGGCTGTGTAGATCCCTGTGAAAATCCCATCTTAGCCTCAGCGAGCACTCCCTACAGACACAGAGCAGTTTCCCACCCAGGGTCTTCCCAAAAGCTCCTGGCCTGTGTGGCCTCTTAGGCATTGTGGACATACTGCAATGGCATTTCCAGGTCCTTCTACAGATATGTGGATGTGTCTACATTTGCTCTGTGAATTTTGGCATCACAGTTCATACAGATTCTAAACTTGAAGGCAGAAACTTTGTCTACTGCATGGGGTCCTGTTTAAGCAGACATCAGATACTCGTCACTGGGAATCGGGAGTCAGTGTCTATATAGTCCTCTGAAGCAAACTGGCCCCAAGAGGCAAATCCAAAACAGGTGATGACTGAGGACATGCAATATCTAAGAGAGCAGTTGGTATCAAAGGCCCCACCCTAACAGGGCTAGGAAGGGGAGAAGGCAGAAGCAGCTGATTAAAAAGTGCTACAATCTGAGGGCAATCCCCAACAGAGCTCTTAGATCCAGGACCACCCCTGAGCACACGTCAGTATCTGGGGTCCAAGGCCAGACCCAGGCCCAGGTCAAGCCAGAGTGACTTGGCAACAATGGCAACACCAGGCGATGCCCAGAGGGCTGAGCTGTGGCTCGCTGATGCCTCCACCTAGAGCCAGGGCTGGTCCAGACTGTGGTAGGCCTGGGCGTGCAGTGAGGAAGAGACAGACAGGTGAGGGAGAGCAGATGGAGTAGGCCTGAGGAGGGTTTGACTGCACAGGCTCAACAAATGAGGAAGTCACCCCAGTTGGATTTGGAATCTCAGCAGACATTTGGAGCTCTAGCCCTGCCACTTACCAGCCATGTATGACTAACTTACCCACCTTTAGAGCTGACTTAACTATTGGTTGCTTCAGCCATAAACTCACAAAATTATCCTGTCCCTCCGACCACACAGAGTTACTGGGTGTGGCTGATAAGCTGACCTTTTGGGAAATGCTTGGTCACATCCCATTCTGATGTCGCAGTGCTTTGCTGATTCACGGTGCTGTGCGGTCATCATCTCACAATGACGCTCCAGATCTCTTTCTTGGGATAAATTATCTGGGGTCTTACACTAGATGATAAAGTGGGCTGAGGCTTCCCACCAAAGCCAAGCCTTCTGATCTGCCATCTCCAAATTCACACGCAGAGCTTCAGGCTGTGGACTGAGAAAGACAATGAGAAGCAAATCCTCTCCTCTTTCTCCAACCCACCAGTGTGAGAACTTTCCATCTATGGTTGGAGGGCTGGAATGGGGTCACTTGCCTGTGGAGGCCAGTTAGTTCAAGGACACACACACTCTCCAGTCCAGCCTTTAGTCTTGTCCAGCAGGTGCCTGAGTAGGTGAGTCACTGTTCAGACCTGCGCGCTCTCCATTTCCACCCCACATACGCAGCAAATGCTCCACCTGTACTCACTGTCCTAGGACTCATCGCCCTCAAAATAATTTACTGGGATTCTGATTATAAAAGTAGTATCAACTCATTTTAGAGAACCAGGAAAATTCCAAAAGGCAAACAAGAACACCACTAATACCCGGCATACTTGCTTTGCCTTGTTTTTGCTTCTATTTCCAACAGTTCCTGTATCTGATTCCTGCAGAATTCCACCTGACCTCTGATTACACCTCCCTGAACTCTACTGCAACAAGCCCGAGTTCCTAGGTCCTGCCTCACTCCTTGCATTCAATGCAGAACTGAGGCAGCACAGCACAGGTTAAAGGCATTAGCAGTTCGCAATGACTGAATTGTAATGACGACGAGATGCTAAATTAAAGTTTATTGCAGAATAAAAGTGTATGTAGTCAGCAGTTGTTTAAGAGGCTACAATGAGATGCCTTCTAGAACTTGGCAATACAATTATGTAGAGTTAAGTGAGTAAAATGCACACACAGAGGAGATTAGCTGTCGGCAAAAGTCATTTTGAGACAAGTCATCTTTTGTGAAGGCAGAAAGAGCTAGAATGCTCGTCAAGATGTGATTAAACATGGAAGAAACAATAGCCTCATCAAAGCATGGAGATATTTGCAGTAAGTTGGCGTGTGTGTGTGTGTGTGTGTGTGCGCGCGCGCGCACACACACACACGCGCTGGGAGGAGGTCTGTGTGGAGCACAGAAAAGGGGGAGGGAGGAAGGAATCTTGTTGGGTGTTTCTCCACCACCACCTGGAGAGCAGCCACACTGGGTGAGGAATGAGCCACCAGCCCGTGGGAAGGTGTTCGCTGGGTTAGGGACAGGGATGGAACACCCTCCACTCTGCTCCCAGGTTCACTAGCAGCCTCCTGACTCAGCCTCCAACTACCGTGAGGGTGGGAAGAGGTGCTATAAGAGTGAGCAACTCAGGCAGAGGGCCAAGAACGTGAGCTCTGGAGCCAAAGTAACTGGGTTCAATTCTGACTCCTACTACCTACAAGCTGTGCCATTTGGGGCAAAAATATTTCCTCCTTGAGCACTGTTCCTGATTTGTGAAATGCAGTACTGAAATGTCCCTGAGAGGGCTGCTTTAAGGATTACTTGTGGAAAGCAGTAAGGTTGGGCTATAACTATTAATAATATTAACAATGGCATTATTACTATTACTGATAAATGAATTTACTTAGCGGTCCCTAGTGAAGTTACTTAATTAAATCCAGCCCACAAGCTGCTCTTTTCCAGGTGTGAATTAAAGAACTGAGCTTCTGGATTTGCCACTCTGAGGTCTGGACCCTGAGCCTGGGTGACAAAGTGCACCGCCTGGGACCTGTGGGTAGAAGTGTCTCACACGGCACATATAAACCACATGCAAGCCTGTAGCTGTGTGTGAAATAAAGACCATGGGGGAATGTAAGTTTTATTTGCATAAACCTCATGTGGCTGATAAAAAAGTTCCTATTACAAAGTGTTCTGGGAGTCGCTGTGAGCAGTTGACCATGAGTGCCTATTATGGATAATAACACTTACCTGCACTTCACAGTTTTTATAAAGTCTAAGTGTGATAATGATGTAAACTGCTTATTTCTTAGCACAAACTAAGCACTCAGTATACAAGTTTCACGTTTTATAAATGCGGGTTGTTTTCTTTAGTTCACAATGTTATTTGAATCAGACAGAACCTCTCCAAAGGAGAAAGTGAGGGGGAGAGAATATTCCAGACTCCAAAATATCAGATTTGTGCTGGTACAAAAGAAAAAAATTACATTTATTTTACAAGTTAAGTATTTTCCTAAAGTATTATACATAGAGGAAACTTGAGCTGTCTTTAGGAAAACAGAATATAATATTAGGAAATTACAGAGGGGTCAACATTGTGCTTAAAACTTTGAAATAGGTGAAAAAATTAGCACAGTAAGTGAATATTGCAAGGTATGAACAACCTTAAAAAGTGTATGTGGACACAACGATACAGAAGCTCAATATTAAAGCCTCTAGTGATGATCTGCTTTCAGAATTGTTCATACTATGAAGAGAGCACTGCTTCAATCTTAACAGAAGAAGGAACTCAAAGCACTAACAGAAGCATGGCCCTTTCACGGTAGTCAACTCTCCAGTCTCTAGAGTAATGAAAGGGAGCAGTGACGTAACATTTTTAAAAGGTAATCCCAAAATTAATTTTGAGACGTGCCCTCGTAATTATGTTTGGATGTGAGAAATACCGACATCCCTGGAGTTCACGGCACTGAGACAGTGAGGACTCCAACCTCCTTCCCCTCTCCTCCCCTGTGGGAACAGACACAATCCCAGACTATTCAGACAAACCTAAAATGCAACTGTGCTCCTCAATTCTGGCCCTCACCTCCTGTGGAGAGGGGATAGGAAAGAAAACTGTTAAAATGTTGTTTCCCTCATGTGAAAGGCCAAAACACGTCAATACAATTTTGCAAACAAGATGGAATAATCAAGAGCTGACATATAAATATTAGTTTAACTTGTGCTTTCCCCCCGACCCCCTGCCTAATAGTATTTATACCGCCAAACCTATCTGGGTATTTTGGCAGTTTTCTAAAATAGGTTGTGTCCTATACCCAAATAGAGAAATTTGTATAAAATGAGTTTGTTCTGATTAGTCTCAAAAGAACTGCTTCAAATAGGACAGGAAGTAGAGGTTAAAAAATAAAAGCACCAGCCCCACAACAGTATCGAATCTGAGATCAAATCCAAAAGGTACTTGAGGACAACAACTTCACCGTTTTGTTTTAGTCTGGGTGGTTTATTTGGTTTTATTTTGTATTGTATTACCTTGAAGTACAAGTCTTCCTCTCCCAGGAAAGCAACCGTTTTTCTTCATGGTTTTCCTCAGATTCTTACTTCAAATCTTAAAAATTACAAGGTAAAAAATACCTAGGTTTGATTGTAAAAGCCTCATTTTTAATGTACCAAATCGTTATAACCATAAAAGCATTTTAATTGCTTTGTCATTTCTCAGAAGAGTTAGAATATCTGAAACTGGAAAATTCCAAAGGAAGTCTTGGTTAGGTAATAAAGCTGAATTCCATACAGCACTTCTTTTGCATCTTCCACCCTAACAGCTCTTACATCAACTTTCAGGAAGTGGGGATGGTGCCAGGCTTCCATAAAAGCCCCCAAAGCACTTTCTCCATCCACACAGCCCAACCCTTCACTCCAAGTGAACTACCAGGTTCAAATTATTAAGTTTTAGTACCTGTCAACGTACAAGTATTAACCCAAAGACTATTTAACATGACTGTGTTCGATGTCTATAATACACATTGCAGTCTAAACATTTTCTAAAGTGCCTATAAATATGCTTATACAAATGAGCAATATAATATCAGGTTTACAGAGAAATTCTTTTATCTAATATATAACAGATAGGCCTAGAATTTAAGTTGTAAATACCCATTTTCATATCCTTATCAGTTGTTTTTGGAATGCAAGCATTAAGAAACAATTCTGGTTCAATCATGTATGATTTTCAGAGAATTATTAACAGTGCTAGGACAAAGAAACCCTTGCTTGTGCTTGTTTAGAAAAGGCTATTTTGAGATCCAGGAGCATCTGATATTTAGAATCCAATGGAACATCCTCAATTCTATAAAAGAGTAGTAAGTGAAGCTTAGTGAATTTTTAATTATAAAGAGATTGTGCAAATATTTAAAGTGATTATCAACCATTATTAAATCCAAAAATTTCATTAAAATCATGGGTATTCTGAATGGCAGTTCAGGAGTTTAAAAAACAGGAACCTAGGCAAAAGTCATAGATATTACAGATGAAGGCCCCAACCCTGACACAGCCAGCTTCAGAAACATGGCCCTGTGACCACGTATTTCCACAGCTTTGGAGACCTGGTGGTTGACTCTGATCAGTTTAATGAACAGGAATGTGAGCCCAGAGTACAGAACTGATAAAACTGTGCGGAGAAAGGAGACCCTCCATATGCCCACCCAGGGGCTTCACTGAGCTCAACCACAGGGTAGGTGCAGACAGGACCCTGGGGTCGCTGCTTCGATCCTGAGTACACAGTGGCTGGCTACACTGCTCGGCTCACAGGATTTGGGCTTCCGTGCCTGCCTTCAGCTGGCTAGTAAATCAGGGGAGGCACTGAGAACCTCAGACAGGCTCCTCAGATGTCTGTCCCTAAGCCATCAGGCTGGGGAAGGCCCTCTCTGCACCCCCTCCTCCACCTGCCCTTTCCTGGAGCCTGCTGTTCCTGGAGCTCCTCTCACCACCTTACTGGTCCGACTTGTTGAGTCTTTACATTTCAGTCAGTGGGAACTTTATGCTGCATTCTCATCTAGCACAGGAAGCTTTAACTGCCACTGCTTTCAAAGGAATACGTGTACTCTGTTTTCTAAACCCTAGCGCTGTTTTGGGCACCTAGACCTAACAAAGTGTTCTAGCCAATCACTTGAACTACATGTACAACCAAGACAGCAGACTCTGCCTAGAGTGATTTGTGAAGGATGTCAAATGGAGGCTTCAGGGTGGAACACAACAGGCCTCGTCTTATTTCTTAAAATACAAACTAAAGTGACACAGAAGAGATGTGCCAAAATGCGGACAGAGCACGAGATAGTGCCACGAGAGCACGCTCACAGAAAGTGAGGGCATAAGAAGTATTTCTCAACCTCCAAACTTTGGCAGGTATATCAGGCTGTATTTTAAACTTCCTGAACTCTTAACTACGCCTCACAGAGAGGAGACGTGGAGAAATGGCAGATAAGCAACTCACACAATAACACCTTGTATAAATGGAAATTAGGAGAATTCGGAAGAGAGCTAAGTAAGAAAGAATTATTCACTATTTTGTGTGTGTGAGAAAAGAGAACATGTACAACAGACAATGAATATGACTGTAGTAAAGTGAATGAATATTACACAAAATATCTTCTGACTTAGCAGCAAACTATTTCAACTGCTTTTGCATTTGCATAAAAAATCCATGCATCATACTGAATTCTAATCCATTTCTCACCTAAGCCATTCTAATGCTTCATACAACCAAATGAAGCAGAATTAATCAAACCTATTAGATTCATTCCTAATCCCTAAAGGACTGCTGTGTTTAGCATTTCCATGCTAACTAAAACTATTGATTTTTTTAAGACGTCAGATGTGGCTGCCTCCTAAATATAATACCTATATAACTTCCTAAAAGTTTTCCCCAGATTTGAAGAACAATTAAGAAAAATGGGGAAATGTTGAGGAATCCACCCAAGAGGCCAGCTCAAATGTGGCAACACGTTCTCCAGCTGCATGCCTAGTACTCTCCTTCCCCTGGGTTTCCAGAGCATTCTGGGTACCATTACCCGCATGTGTTAGCACAGCCCTCTGCTGGACTGTGGGCCCCTTCCTGTAGGAGTCAGGTGTTAGTCTGCATCCCACTGTGCACCCTGCAGAGCATAGGCACGCAGCTAAAGGTGGATTGAATATGAAACTGAAGGCGTCATCTCTTCTTAAATGAAGGTCTGGCTCTGCCCCAGATCACGCAGGGTATGCAGACACTGGCCATAACTAGGGGTCGAGCGAACCTCCAGTAACCTCCCAGAAATAAACTGAGGCAACAGGGGCCCAGACCGATGCAGGTGGTGAGAAGAGAAAAGAGACAGAATGGCATCTACAGTGCAAACTCTGTTCCCCGCTCCTGAGCTGATTCCCATAGGAGACTAGCAGGGTAGGGGTGCCCGTGGGCACACCAAAAGGAATGACAAGAGGGGTGTGTGTGTGTGTGTGTGTGTGTGTGTGTGTGTGTGTGTGTGTCAAGAACTGGCTATGTAGAAAATACTGTCTCCTTCGCTGTGGGTAGCTCCTCAACCTGATCCATGATAATCATCACTTCACTGCTTTCAGAGTTCCCAGTGAAATTAAGGCTGGGTCACAATTCATGACACCAGATGCTACATAGAAAATAAGTCAAGATACAAAAGAAAACCATTTATAAGAAAAAGAAGGTCTTAGTTCTAAGACTAATTTAAGAGTGAAGCTAATCAGCAGACCACTGAACCACTATGGTTGTCAGAGAGGGGTAGAAAATACCAACTGCAGTGGAAAAAGGATCCATCAGACCAAAGTACAAAAGCTCAGCATGGATCAGAGGCCGTGGCTTCCTGCTTGGACTCTCACACGGTGGTTTCTATTGTTTCAATCACTTCCAGATCTGACTGTGAAGGGGAGAGAAGGGTGCACTCATCCGGTTCCCAGCTGCTCTCCGGACTGTAATCTTCCTCTGAACTCAGTTCTGCTCCTTCTTCTGTGTCCTCATCACATGATTCCACATAGTGAGCCCCAATGGCATTGATCCCGGAGTCCTCAGAACTTGAGGGAGAAGAGCAGTGATCTATTTTTGGTGTACTGCTCTCTCTTGAAATTAAGGCATCATGTGCAGAGACCTCCTCAGGGCTCATTTTGTGGGAATGTGGTGCCGGCTGCTTCTGCACGTAACACATCTTCCCATTAATACATTTAACCTGATAGTTGTCGATAAAGAGGTCTGAGATCATACAGTACCTTGGTGAATCAGGGGGGAGGGGTGGTTGGAAGACAGATGCAAATTTCAAAAAGTGTTCAGTGAGTGAGACTGAGATCTGAATGGTGTTCGTGGGTTCCCGAGGCTTTGCAGGAATCTCAGTGCTTGGAAGCTGCTCCACAGGGGTCATAGGCTGATACACATACTTGCCTGTGAGGAACACAAAAAAAAAGTGGTTGAAATCTAAGAGTATTACACAAAGTACATTAACACAGCTATAATGGTTTCCTTCTGAGGATTCAGAATGTTTTTAAAAATATGTCACCATCAAAAGAAACCAGTAATAGAATCATTCTACATTGTTATAATCGATGAAAAATACAGCATGATACATAATAACATCATGGTATTTCCATCTAAGAAAACTCACACACTACAAATTTTAATTTATATTGATGTCTTTCTAGTACTTCTGAAGTGGGTATATACTAAAATTCTTATTTTAACAACAGTCTTAAATGATTTATCCCTTACACTAGAATAAAGAAAGCCCACAATATATGTATTGTAAGTATGTAAGTATGGTAAAAACACACTGTAAAATAGCATACTATAAAATTATAATTCCATTTTATTTTTAATAGTTATATGCTAATATATATGCTAATACATACATTTAAAAACTGGAGAAATATATACCAATTTATTATCAGGATTACAGAAGACTTTCACATTTTAGGTTTCTGTTTTAATCGGAATACATATACACATGCGTATTTAACAGGTAATGGCCTACAGGACTGTCCCAGCCACTGGCAAGGACTGGGGTAAGGTATAAGGTGGGAAATGATCTCCTTCAAGGCCCAAGTGCATCAATGGCCTAATTAGGAGATGTTCTCCCTGACACCAGCTCCCCTGGTACTAAGCAGCCCAGGCCAAGCAGAAACAAAGGCACAGGTGGTGTAGGGGGTAACCTACCAAGTGTTTCTAGGAAACCAAGAAGCTTATCTCCACACCTTCCCCTCTGCTCTGAGCAGGGCTTCACACAGCACACCTAGAAGTGCAACCTAAACAGATCTTGTCCTAATGTGTGTCTTTCTTTGTTCTTTCACTTCACTCAACATTTGCAAAGCCAGGATCCTGTGTACCAAGTGCTAAGGAAACAGAGATAGAGATGGAAATTATCCAGTCTGTAAATCTAAAATGATTTCAATATAGAAATCTGGAAGTAAAAAAAAAAATCCTGAAAAACTCAGAAACAGTGGCCACAACTGTAGGCACCATCTTGGGTTTCTCCTAATGTAGTTGAGTATCAACCAGTCCATACTGTATCTTCAGCACATAATTATGACAGGGCTTTTTAACCTAATGGCACTATTGCCATTTTGGACCAGATGATTCTTTGTTATAGGGGGCTGTCCTATGCACCGTACGATGTTTAGCAGCATCCGTGGCCTCTACCCACTAGAAGCCAGGAGCACCTCCTCCACAGGTATGACAAAACTGTTCCCAGACATTATCATAGACCCCTAAGGGTCAGAATCGCCCCGGATGAGAACTACTGATTTATGATCCTGTCATGAGCATCTCTTTGCAAGCAATTCACTCATTGTGCATGCACCTGGCTCCTGTTTATTTCTCGGTCAGACTGGAAATTCTAGGACAGAAATCACATTTGTATGGAAAATTACCTTAGATTTTTTAACAATTTATTTAGGTCATGGAAGAAAAGCAATTTAAGATCAGAAAAGCAAACTAGGCCATAAATAGTACAACATCAGCAATCTATTAAGATCAATCAGCTTGCCTATATTTTTTTATTTCTGGTTCCTGACTCTTGTACAAAAGTGTAGGCTTAGATGCTATAATTTTATTGTAACTAAATTACTCAAAAATATATTGTTTCATTCTGGAGTAACACATGGAAAAGGTACATTTAAAACTGTTAGTCCTTTGGGTTCCTAGGTCTGCTTCAAAGCATGGACATGTATCATGTAAACCCTAAATGGTCTGATAAAAACAGAGGTGAGAAGAATCCGTCACACCTGCCTGGGGGAGTAGGTTTCAAATATGCCAGTATCTTTATTTCTCTGTTATCTGTAAGGAAGTACAGTATTATTTCTTTCAAGAAAAGTTCAAATCACTAGAGTTTGGTACAGTAGGACCTCTGCATCCAAGCACCACTGGCATTATCAGCTGAAGGGGCAAAGAAGGCAGAACTTCGAACGTCCCCTCCAATATTCCAGTCCCTTATATTCACAGTGGTGAATAAATCATCTGGAATGGACATTGGTCTTTTCTATTCTTAGTTAGTGGACTGGTGGTTACTGAGTTCAGGAGGCTATGGATGACAGGCACTCAAGAAATGCCTTTTGCGGGGCGCCTGGGTGCGCAGTCGGTTAAGCGTCCGACTTCAGCCAGGTCACGATCTCGCGGTCCGCGAGTTCGAGCCCCGCGTCGGGCTCTGGGCTGATGGCTCAGAGCCTGGAGCCTGTTTCCGATTCTGTGTCTCCCTCTCTCTCTCTGCCCCTCCCCTGTTCATGCTCTGTCTCTCTCTGTCCCCAAAATAAATAAACGTTGAAAAAAAAATTTAAGAAATGCCTTTTGCAAAATGCTGATTAAGTTTCTGGCCCAAGTGACCTCTGGTTTAGTTATCCACTTGTCACAACTGTAGAAGTTCCTGAAAATTCTTTCTCAGACTCACAGGGATCAGGGCTTTATTTAGTTCAAAGAAGGAGGAACTCCATGAAGACTGACTGTGGAACTTTTGTAACCACCCTGTCCTACTCTCACTTGCCCTCGACCCACCCTCCTTTCTCTTCTCCTCCTTTCTGCTTCTTCATAATGTCTTTGTTCTTTCTCTTCATCTCAGTTCTTCTACCTCTTCCTTTCTCTAACCCTGTCTTCTCGAAAACTCTGTTTTTCCTTCCTTGAAGTGTAGTAAAAGAAAGGGAAATGCAGCTGGGAGACAAAGTATGCAGAATACTGTATTCTACACTTCATTTGCTTCTATAAGTTGTACTTGTTAAATATGCTTACTCTGAGTTAGGTGACAGCCCATTTATCTGGTGATATGGGGACACAGATGCAAAGAGGAAGGCAGAGACGAAAAATAGCAGAGGCAGCCAGATGAGAAACTAAGTTTAGTAAACATCTTTCAAACATCAATTAATTATATAAAACTATATTGTTTAATTTTCTTATAAATACATAATTAACAGGAGAAATCAAGGATTTAGTTTTGTAAAGAGTCCAGAGGGGTTTGTACTTTGCACCATTCCCCGGTAACTTCTGCCCTGTGGCTTACTATACTGTGAATCTATGTTTGTAATGATAGCCCCAAAGCATCAAAAGATCCTGAATTATCAGAGAAATTCAATTATGTCTGCTATACTGTACTTACTAAGGGAATAAAATGAACTAACACACTACAATACCATGGACAAAGGGGGGGGGGGTCCTGGCCAAAATTCCACAACCACTATACTTTATTCTCTGAACAGTCCTTTTAATTAAGAGTTTAGTATGTTATTTAAAGAAATAAGTAGTGGCACCTTGATGGCTCAGTTGGTTAAATGTCCAACTTTAGCTCAGGTCATGATCTCATGGCTCGTAAGTTCGGTCCCCACATCAGGCTCTGTGCTGACAGCTCAGAGCCTGGAACCTGCTTCAGAGTCCGTGTCTCCCTCTCTCTCTCTGCCCCTCCCCTGCTCACACTCTATCTCTCCCTCTCTCTCAAAAATAAATAAACTTTTAAAAACAAAAAAAGAAAGATGAGAACTTTTAAAACTTAAATCTCTAAAAGGAAAAGATACTCAGAGATAGACAGGGCTTGAAGTAGAAAGTAGAGGGAGAATAAAAGAAAAATCTAGATATAATATAATCCAGCAATCCTACTTCTGTGCATATACTCAAATGAAAGCAAGGTCTCAAAGAGACAGCAGTTGCATAACCATGTTCATAGCAGCATTATTCACAGTAGCCAAAAGGAGAAAGCAACCCAACTGTCTATTGACAGATCAATGAACGGAAAAACAAGATGTGGGATATACATACAATGGAAAACTATCCAGCCTTAGAGAGTAAGGAAATCCAGGGTACAACATGGATGAACCTTGAAGCTATTACGCTAAGTGAAATAAGCCAGTCACAAGAAGACAAATACTGTATGGTATCACTTATATAAGCCACCTAATTTAATCAAATTCATATAGGCAGAAAATAGAGTAGTGATTGTCACGGGCCAGTAGATAAAAGAAACAGGAAGCTGTTTAATGGGTATAGAGTTTCAGTTTTGCAGGATGAAAAGAGTTCTGGATATGGACAGTGGTGATGGTTGTACAACAATATGAATGTAGGTGATACCACGGACCTGAACACTTTAAAACAGTTATGATGGTATATTTTATGTATATTTTAACATAATTTTTAATACTAAAAAAATTAGTATAATTCATTATATGGAGGGGAAACTCCATATGATCCAGAATATGTAAAGAATTCTTACAACTCAGTAACAAAAAACAAGAAGCCCAATTTTAAAAAGCAGTGAAGCTATGCAAGAGCAATACCAGGAATCCTTGTCGTGATGGATATGCTCTGTAATTTGACTACATCACTATTGGTATCTTGGTTATGACAATGAACTACTGTTTTGCAACTACAGTTGTCACTAGGGGAAAGTAGGTAAAGGATACATGAATCTCTGTATTATTTGTAAAACTACATCTGAATCTTAATTTTTTCAAACTAAAAAATATAATTCAAAACAACAGGGAAAAATCACTACAGAAGTGATGTTGTACCCTTTCTGGTGCATTATTTATCAGGAGGTAACATGCTGTGGCTCCATCTCATATTAACTTTGAACACTTGTTTAATGTAGTATCTGTCCAGGTTTCTCCACTGAAGAGTTAGTATTTTTCCCAACAGTTATTTCCTATTTCCATCATTACTCCTATATTTATTAATAGAATTCCATGTAAGCAATTCCCCTTTATTTTTTCAATTATTTAAATTAAATATGATTCACAGCTATCTATTTTGTTCTATGGATTGTAATCCATTACTATCGTTATTTACTTTGCTCCTCAAATTGTCCCAAATTGAAGGCAGCTCCTTCAAGTTAGCCCCTGAGTCCTTTCAACGTGCCCCCATCATCCTTTTTTGAAGACGTCCATGCTTTCTGGCACCATAGATGTTACTGGCTT